CGGGCAGTACTCAGGTTGAGTTTCTCAACCCGAGGTAGGGTTAGGATTTGGGTTATGGTTAAAATTGAAGATTATATACCTAGAGTTGGGTTAGAGTTGACTATCCAACCCGTCGTACCTGCCCGAGTTGCACCCAACAAAAGAGTGAAGAATGAAGGGTTACAAATAAGCCCGTCAACGGATCGGGTGTGAATCAGATTCTAATTTAAAATCCGATAATCCAACACATTTTATTTTTTGTGGTATATATTTGAAATCCGACCCGACCCAACTTGAATAAATTAATTAACTACACTTTAACAAATTATACATAAATTTCAACTAAATTTCTTTAAATAATCACTTAATTTCTTCAATATTTATATAAAAATATATAAATAATTCGGATCAGATATAAGTATATTTAGATCCGTGAAATATAAGATATCGGATTTGAATTATCGATAAAAAATATTAATCTATATTCAATTAATCAGATTCAAATTATAGTCTGATCCATTAACCGGCCTAAGGCAGTTAAATTATTCTTGTTTCTATCATGAGTAACTCTCTCTCTCTCTCTCTCTCTCTCTCTCTCGATAGTATGACTTAGGAAAGTACTTGGATATACTATGAAATATATTACATACTCAATATTTTTATGAATGAAACAATTTTTACCGATTAAAACAAAACTACCACGATGAATTGGCTGAGCATTCTTAGTTACCAAAGTTCTATTTACAAGATTAAAGCTTCCTTTTGGATCATTCGGCCAAGTAGATATACCTTATTCTAGTAGTTCTCGTCAGCCAAAGACTCCAAAGGTATCTGTGCTTATTCAAGAAGGATCTGCCAAACGCAGGCATCGTTACCAAATAGATTACCCACTATTTCATTAGCCCCCACAAAATCTAAGGTTTAATGTGTATTGCAACGTTAACTATCCACTTAAAACTGTGACATTTTTGTCTACTATTGATGCGATCTATTGCCATTCTTGTTCCCAATTTTGCTAACTTCTCTTCACAGCCGTCCAATGAAGGTAGCTTGACTAATTTGTTAGTTGTCGGTGGGATTTACAACAAAAATGTTAATAAAATTGATGAGATTTTTCTGAAATACTCTATGATGAAGACACGTGTCCTCGATATTACCAAAACACTGTTGCNAAAATTAAGGGAAAAAATGGATGAATTGGCTTAGATTATATGAGTTTTATGTTATGCAGGAACATTTCAACATATAGACAAAACAATTGCATCGACATTTGGGGCTATGTGTGGCATGGCCGATTAGGTAGGATGGCACGGGGTGGCAAGAGGGTCAGCCAAACATTTTACGTTTTTTTTTTCAAGTATCCCCTCGAGTTCTCCATGTGTGAATTTTATAAGAATCGAAGGTCTACCTATTCAACCTCATGAATTAGCACCTTTTGTTCATAATTTGTGCTGATGAACTAGCATCTTATGACAAGGAAGATTAATATAGAAAAAAAAACACATCTCACTAGTCTTATTACTTGTCTTTTCCTTCTCTAAGATGCTCACCCCCCATGGCCTATTTTCTGACCCTTTCTTGGTAGGTAAAAGGATAATGTGCACTATACTTTAGGTGAAGCTCAAGTGCTGATTTGGAGTGTTTGCCTGGATCTTAATCATGCAATTAATTGATAGAGTGAACACTACAGTGGAAACAGTAGCGAACTGTAAATTTAGACATTTTGAGTTTAAATCTTGACAATTTTTTGAAATCAAACCATGAGAGAATACTCTAGTCCCAGCATGGATGACCAGTCTTTGATCGGGCTAGGGAAGAAATTAATCCAGGTGCACATAATTTAGCCCAGACACACCTAACCGTTGAATAAAAAAAAATATAATTAAAGTCATGCACTTGCAGAAATCAACATTGAATAATTGTCCCAAGTGAAGTTTGTATCAAATTTATAGAAAATGTGCAGTTCAATTAAGTGATCAATTTAAGTTANTCCAGGTGCACATAATTTTGCCCAGACACACCTAACCGTTGAATAAAAAAATATATAATTAAAGTCATGCACTTGCAGAAATCAACATTGAATAATTGTCCCAAGTGATGTTTGTATCAAATTTATAGAAAATGTGCAGTTCAATTAAGTGATCAATTTAAGTTAATATCATTGCTGAATGGATATGATTGTTTTCACCAAACTACGACACTGAAATGGGATGCTTTTTTCCCCCTGATCCATCAGTGCTAATTATGAGTTCTTTGCACTTAAGCCACATCCCAAATAACATAGTTTTTTTGAGGGGTGTAACACGAATATTTTGCAAAGTCACCCGTCCTACTACTACTCTCGAGTCTCGCCCAAACACGCCAAATTATATAGTAGGGCAGTTTCTTAAGCTACTAATTTGTTTCTTCATTAAGGGTAGTTTGTGATTCTTAATGTGCAAATGCAGTGATTCAACAGGTCATATAAAGGGAATAGATAAGGAAATTTAAATCTTGGGAATTATTTAAATATAAATTCTATAGTAATCGAAGTAAAAATAGGGTAAAACTTCAAGAAAAAGTATGATTAACCCTATTTTTTATGGTTGCCAAGAATCAATCTGGTTTTTTTAGAAAAGTAAGGATAGAAGGTAGAGTTGAGCAGTTGACTTCTGAAAATCCGCATGCAGTGTTTGGAAAAGATGCTGAAATTTTGAGTCTTTGAACCATTCTGCTAAAAATTCTACACTTCACAGCTGGGTTATGGTGGACACAGGCCAATAATGGCACCAAGTATGGGGTAGCAAATCTTGCACCCTTAACTTGCTGGATAGTCTGATTGTTTAGGAGAATGAATCAAACAGTTCTTGGGTTATGGGCACTGGTCCTAAGTCCTAACCACGTCTTTCTACTCATGATTGATTAAAGAGTGAAACAATCATCCGTCAATTACATACATCAGTTAAATTCGGACTAAGAACATGCTGCAGTTATTGGTGTTGTTGATTGAGACTCCACCTTTGGAATGTAAAACAAGTTTGGCCTAACAAACAACTTGGAACCCCAATTTTAAAACTTTTGGATCACTTTTTGGTATGATATCATTGGCTTCTATCCTTTCTTTTAGTTTAGCAATTCCTTCTGTCTTTAGCATTGACTTTAGTTAGGACCTTATGTTTCTAAAGCAGTATTTTAAGGGCATTATCAAAATGTTGGAGAGAGAGAAAGAACTATAAAAATGGTGGTGGGAGGCAAATCCAAAGTAAGAAGCAGAAACTAGTTTACTTTAGGGATGGATCCATTGAATGTCGAGAGTGTTGGCTTTTTCTATTGAGAATATATATATCAACAGAGGANTTTGCACAATTGGCATCACCTTCATTGTGAATTATACACTTGCAACTAATGCAACCATTAAAGTGCACTGTCAAAAGAAAAATCTCAATTAGGACTCGTTTTTTCTTTATAAAAATATGACACANGCAAGGCATAAAGCCGTCTCTCTCTCTCTCTCTCTCTCTCTCTCTCTCTCTCTCTCTCTCTCTCTCTCTCTCNCTAACACGGGGTTGCACGGTAATATATAAAACCCTCTCTCTCTCTCTCTCTCTCTCTCTCTCTCTCTCTCTCTCTCTCTCTCTCTCTCTCCCTCCCTCTCCTCTTTGACCACTTTCAATATCAATTTTGTCGGGACTAATTTAATAAAATTAACAATTCCCCATACTATAATGTGAATACCCACATAATCTATCCGTTCACTTGCAGGCTTTAGCTTATTCAAAAAAAAATGAAGGATTGTTTGGATTCTAGCTTAATATCATAATGCTAGTTGATGATGTTTAAGCCAAAATGCCGAGGGCTTAAGAACTACTTGACAAATTTGAATGCAAGCCAGCTTCCAGAATCTACAAATACATACAAAGAACTGGCTACCAAAACATTCACTAATTACAGTTAAAATATTGCTTGAACTGAAACGACCTGACTGAAACCAAAGGGAATGAATTTACTGGACAAAGTCCACAATCAGTTTCAAGGAATTTAACTGTATAAGCTATAAATCATGGTGAGTTAGTTTGGGAGATCAAGACTCCTAGAACTATAATGAGAGAGACCTTTAGATACAAAGGGAGTTTTGTATATTTTTTTCATCGGCCGATAACTCTTATATTGATTTGTTGCAAACGATCCGAATTCAAATATCTTGTATTCAAGGTCACTATTAGGAACGATATATAAATTCCTTGTTATGTGTACCATGTTTTTGAGCTGTCATAATCTGACAAGAAGTAAGACATAGTTTTTATCAAGTCAAAAATCTTAATTTGATCCCCCACAAACGTTTTAGCCACTCTCAGCTCTCCAACCCTCGATGACAGGTGGGTTAAGATATCGAAAAAAAAAACAAAAATAATAAACAAAGTAAAAGTGTTCTCTTTCCAACACAATTATAAAAGAAAACCCAAAAGGAACCCTCCCCTCCTCCTCTTGAATGGTGGAGGAAAGACCTGTTAGTTGGGAGGGGTTGGCATTTGGCTGTGGAAGGTAAAAGTGAGACGCAAGTGGAAACCATTTTTAACTTTTTAAGTAAGATTTATTATAGTGCTTCATATATGGTGAAAGGTTGTAGCAAGTTAATTTTTGGAAACAACCTTTGGTTGACTTTGTTTGTAGGTAGCTGATATGGTGGTACATTTTTCACATAGTGGGTCCCGAGGCATCATGACTTGGTAGCAAATTCTCAATCTATCTACCGAATTTCAATTCAAAGGACTGACCAAAAAGAAAAAAAAAATTCAAAGGAAAAATAAAAACCCAGCCAAGAAGATGTTAGGTAGGAAGCACAATTCAATGACCGGTGGAAATAAGACCAGTCATATGACGAAGGGTTAGTTTAATCTGTCTGCTGGACCTTATATTTGTCCCCTTAAATTAATGATGACACTAGATTCTTCCTTTGAAGCCAACTGGACCCAGGGGGAGAAACACTACAAACGACAAAGAGATTGTAGAAAAAATCAAGTCAAACATTAGAACTAATACTTCTTCAAACAAGCAGCTATGTACAGAATACAAATGGGTGCTGTGTGAAACCAATTTCTTTTTCTTCTACCTAATCTTCTCCTATCTCTGCCAGCTACCAACAAGCACAATAACCACAACCCTCTTTCTACCAATAACTTTTACTTTTTCTCTGTTTTCCCTAATCTAAGTTCAAATTCTAATCACCCAAACAATTTGAAATTGTGGGGGTGGCCCCCATATCATCCATCTAATGTGTGTACGTGTGTGTGTGTGTCTACCTATTCAACCAACCAAACTCCTACTACAACTAACCTCACCAAATCTCACCCTTGTAACTCTCTTCTCTCTTTACTATGTACATATGCCCAACTCTGAAGCAAAGTATATGCCGAAGTGCCAATAAAGGGAGGGCAAATCCCCAAAAACAAGTTGACTTTAGTTTTATGTCTACTCAGGAATATGATCTGATCAATCCCAAGTTGAATAGATTCTTTCTCACTAGGCTCCCAAGTGACAACAACACAGCCCCACCAACACTCATCGCGGCGGGTTCATCCTTTTCTGCCTTTTGGTGATAGATTAATGGCAGCTCCTTCACTTTTAAGTTACTCAATCCAATTCTCTGTCGAACTCCTTCAATGATTTTTGGATCAGCTGGATTCCCAATTGCATCGGTGACGTAGAACACATTTAGGGCCGTATCTATTTTCGTGGATATCTCAGCCCTTGTCACATTAAGACCATTTTCTCGGAAGGTTCGAGTCACATACGCTAATAGCCCTTGTTTATCAGCTGTGCATAGCTCTAACCTTACACCCTATAATCACAAACCAAAACCCATGAGCTTGCATGATCATACAAAGGATAAGAAACAATGAATAATTCAATGATTCGGAATACAAAGAACAAAGAAGAATAAATACCTCAGATGCTCTTCTTTCAATGGCAGCTTGTAGGCATAGAATCACACGTTGCTTTTCAGCCTCTGAACCAATTGGGGTTCCATCTGTGTGCCTAATGAAGAACTCCTGAATAACATTAACCAAACTTGTAACTAAATTGACACATTTAATTAATGGTGCATAGTAAAATTAACCAGATATAGGGTTTACGAATATATACCAAGTATGCTCTGTCTCCTGCTGTGTTGATGGTGGCATGAAACACAAAATACTGCATGTCTGTCAATGTGCAGACAACATCAAACAGAAGCTTTGTTCGATCTATGCAATGAATATTTACAACGGAATAACCCCTCTCCAAACAATTCTGAACTGTAACACTGGGTGAATCACCATTAGCCCTAATTGTAGGATTTCTTTCATAATCGCGATCTGCAAACATCATCTGATGAAGCCTTCTTTCAGTATGAGTAACAACATTAGACACCGAAGTCTTAGCACTTCGAATATCATTATCACCCTTAAGCACATTCCTTAACCGTGTTCCAATTCTATTGATCTTCAGAGAGTCCTCAATCTGGGAACCGGAATCATTATCCTTAAGGTAAATAAGTGAAGCAATTCGGCCATTGTGTGTCCACATCTTGGATTCGACCACATTACATTGCAGATCAGCGAGCACCCCAAAAACCTCGGATAAGAGGCCGACTCTATCTGTCCCGGTTAATTCCAATGTTGTCAAACCATCATAGCATTTTGATCTCGTATAATGAATCGTACCTAGTGACTGTAACATACAAGCAGGTCATAATTCTTAGTCCAAGCCATTAATATGCTAAAAACGATATCAACTAAATAAAAATAGGATCAGAGTACTTAATTACCTGTTCAATGTAACTGATGACGCTCTCGTCCGTTACTTTGTTACCATTTAAATCAGTCACATGAAAAACTGTGCATCAGTTAAATAAAAAAAGACCACAATTAGTAGAAGTTTCCAGAAATATTAAGCTTCACAAAATTGAAAACGAATTTGCTAACGTGCGCCAGAAGAGGCTCACGTGAGCCAGAACGGAGTTGAATGCTAAATTGCGCTTACCATCCATAAACCACCTTCCGTCAGAGCAAATGTATGCCTTCTTAATTGAAAGGTTCATATCTGTGAGAACCTGCACCGCCTCTAGTAGAATTCCATGTTTTCTTACACTATCAACCTGTAAAAAAGTCATTCATCAAGGGACATTAGTCAAATAATCTTTTGCTTGATAAGTATGAACAAAGAGAAGAGATGCTTTTTGTGAATTTCAGAGAAGCTCACCGTAACAAGAGTTGCGTTGGCACAAGCGGTATTGTCGATCATTACTCTGCGAAACACAAGGAGAGAAGTCAGAGTGAGGCCTTCTGAAAAATTCAAAATTCAAGCGTAGAATTTTGGAAGTGTCACTAAGGAAAGAGAAAGGTTTCCACAGATCATTGAAAATTCAAATGAGATGCGTGTACACTTCTGGAAAGAAGACGACCAGAGATGGAAGAAAAGTCATAAAAACTTGAAAAATAAGAAAACTAAACAATTTAAACTTATTAAGTAATTGAATTCAGGAAATTTTCATAAATTTTAACGCATCAAATAGAAGTAGTTTTAGAATGAAATTTCTTGGAAAATAAACTAGGAAAGTGTTACAGAATCCCAAATCTTTTCGTTTTCGGTAAGCGATCCCAAAACCTCTAGACTTCTAGATCTCGCTTTATTTTTGAATAAATTGCCAGAAAATTGAGAGAAGTACGAAAAACCGAGTCGATTTAGAAATTAGAAGACGTACATCCATGAAAAATCAAAAAGAACTTGCAGAAATCGTTAATTTAAGAAAATCAAAAGATAAAAACGAAGAACAACTGAAAACAGTAAAATTCATGTGCCGAAGATGAAAGGTCGCTGTAGAAAGAGTAACTGACCTCGGCGTTGTCATTCGAATCACAAGCTTTTCATATTCATCCAAATAGGTAGGCCACTCCATCTCTCCAATATCTTCTTTCATTCTTCGATTTCTTCAGCGACAAACTAATCAGACACACAACTAACAATTCACCTTCAAATAAACTCCGAATTACAGCCTGTAATTCTTTCAACCCTCAACGATGACTTGAACGAAGCAAAATCAAAGCACAATCGTCTCCCCTGTGCCAGTTAACCCTCAATACTCCACTTTTACCGTCGAAATCACCATGAACAAGCCTGTCCAAGTCTCTTCCTGTAATCTCTCTCTCTCTCTAGAAGCGTTGGTCTTTTCTGCCTGCACTCCTACAGCGCAAAGAACGCCTTGGTCTTGCCCTCGTTCCCTCGCTCCCGTAAGTCCTATTTATATATCTTTTTAATACAGTATTTTTTTGTTATTAATTTTTTTTAGCTGAAGAATATATTTTATACTTTGGAGACCACGCTGATCCGCACAAGGGTTTGGGGCCTCCCATCCCATGGCGTGACATATGCTGCCCGGACGACTGCCCAACTACCCGGGATGACCTAATTGGCTAATTCTCTTTCCACATTTTTTTGTATTCTCTTTCCAATTTTACTAATTTTGTTGCCACGCGTCTCTTGATCTTTTGGTAATGTGCTTTGCTTACTACACTGAGGAGTTTTACCATATCACCGGCCACATGTGATGTTGTGTACTGACAAGTATACACGTAACTTAAGTGAAATTCATAAAATTTAATAAACCTTCGTGGAAAAATTGAGATTCATCCATGTAATATATGACTACTTCGTTTAAAAATTGAGATTCATTTTATTCATTTTTTTAATTTTTTCATTAAACAATTACANCTCATGTGATGTTGTGTACCGACAAGTATACACGTAAAAAAATTTAATAAATCTTCGTGAAAAAATTGAAATTCATCCATGTAATATATGATTACTTCGTTAAAAATTGAGATTCATTTTATTCATTTTTTTAATTTTTTCATTAAACAATTACATTGTGGACAATGTATAATTATGTTTGTCAAAACGTGTTTGATTAAATGGGTTCATGTCATGTCTTAAGAGATTCGTGTGAAAAATCATTTAACCTTTACACAATTTGTTTAATTAAATAAATTCCATGACATGACTCGTTTAATCTGTTTAATAAATTAACTATGTTGGATAGAGTTGAGTTAATACGATAACTTTTTAATCTATTTTTTTTTTTTTTTGGTCAAAAGACAAATAAGCAAACACACAATCCACACATCACTTACAAAGTTCAAACACACGTAAGGAGAGACACCCACAAGGCCACACCNTGGATTAAGTGGGTTCATGTCATGTCTTAAAAGATTCGTGTGAAAAATCATTTAACCTTTACACAATTTGTTTAATTAAATAAATTCCATGACATGACTTGTTTAATCTGTTTAATAAATTAACTATGTTGGATAGAGTTGGGTTAATACGATAACTTTTTAATTTATTTTTTTTTTTTTGGTCAAAAGACAAATAAGCACACACACAATCCGCACATCACTTACAAAGTTCAAACACACGTAAGGAGAGACACCCACAAGGCCACACCATCCAGGCAATTGTTGACCGGAGGAAAGCAAAGCAGGCCACTTATACTCCTGCTTTGAAGTACTGAGCAACCGATGTTTTTTCGGTCAGAAGACAAATAAACACACACAATCCTTTTTGATCTGTTTGACGTTAAAAATGTTGTATAACTAATTAATAAGCATTCTTGCTAACTAATTAACAAACTAGATCTTCTATGCGGGTTTTCATATTTTCTAATTATTAAACTTCTTTTAACTAGTCTAATTACTAAATTAGATTAATTATTTTGACAAAAAAAATTTTAAATAGATAAAACCGGTGATAAGTAAGCTAACATATCTCATTCAAATATGACCCATTTATTAAATGGGTTTAATGAATCCATCCATTTATCACCGTATTTGTTAAAAATTTTCTTAAATTCATTTAATTACGTTTCAAATCGTATAAATTAATTGTATTAAAAAGCTACAGGGGTTGTTCATTAAGGTTGNCAAACATATCTCATTTAAATATGACCCATTTATTAAATGGGTTTAATGAATCCACCCATTTATCACAGTATTTGTTAAAATTTTCTTAAATTCATTTAATTACGTGAGTTTAGCATATTTAATTAACATAATTTTTCGATGTCCCCAACAAGTAATTCCAAGAATCTGCCGACTACACAATTGTGATGTCCAAAGGCGAGTAAGCCGATTGTATCGGCTTTTATGTTGTCATCATTGTTTCGGCCGGTTGGATTTGCTCTTCCAAATTTAATATGAGTTTTTATTTCTACCTTTCACTTTTAATCATTTTAGTTTAATACTTAGATTATCTCTTAAATTATGCTGTGAAATTAAAATTTTCCCTCAATTTCAATTGTCTATTAATAGGGGAAAGACGCACTTATATACACTATGTTTGTGTGCATGTAATTTGAATACATGATAGGTGACAATCAACTAAGAAATGAATTGAAAAAAAAAATGGATTAGACGATATCTTACTTTGTATAAACGCAACTTATCATATATTTAAGTAACACTTATTGTATATAAGTGAGTCATTCACTCATTAATAATCAATGATCAGCAAATAAATGAATTGAAGCAAAAATATAGAAAAAATCTCAGTCACACCTACTTTAATTTATCATATATTCAAAGACTCCTCATTTAATTTATATTTAAACATCAATAGTGATACCCCATCCGTTAAACTACAATTTCTAACAAAAAATAATTATCTAAAATATCAAAATGATCCCTACCTAAACCCCAAACAATATTTCTATATAAAATTTGATTAAAATTTAAGTAAATTAAAATGCATTTTTTACATATTAAAATTCAAGTTGATTAAAAATTATTTTTCTATATATTAAAATTCAATTTGAGCTGATTAAATTTTATTTTTTTTATGTATTAAAATTCGAGCCTATTAAATTATTTTTTTACATATTAAAGTTCAAATCAATTTGAGCTCGACTTGAGCTATTAGCATTGATTAAAATTGATTCGAATTCATAAAAATTTATATTTTTTTCCTTGTTAAAATTCGATTCAAGTTGATTAAATTTTTTTTTTGTATTAAAATTTCAATCTATTAAATTTTTTATTTTTTTAAGTATTAAAATTCAATGTGAATTGATTAAAATTTTGTTCAAATTGATTAAAAATGAATTTTAATTTGCTCAAATCGAATTTTAATCAGCCCTAATTTTATTACGTAAAAATATTCATAAAACATAGGAGGTCTTATTGTAATAATATATTTTAGTTAAGCTATTTAATTTGACAGGGGTTTTAGTGAAAATTCAAAAAATAGAGAGGTAGCCTTTCCGTTCTTAAATATCTATCGTTTAATGAAATCAAAAAATAATTAATATTTTTTTTTTGAAATTTACCCTTAAATTTTCAATGCATTAGATTAGGTGAAGGCTAAGTGTCTTTTATATTCATTTCCTTCCTAATACGTATTGAAGGAGGATATTTTAGTGTTGTGCAATTATGTTTTACTCATATTAGAACTATTTAATAACTTCTTTAATTTTTGTGCAAAAATTTTAAACCACAGATATTTAGGAACGGAGGGAGTATCTTTAAAGATATAATAAATTAGATGGAATGTGATTATTATATTATTAAATTTATAATTGTCTAAAATTAAATTAATTAGGATGGTCAAAACCTCCTAATTTCTAGAAAATTAGTACTGTAATTAAGAGAGAAAGCCTTATCAACGCATTAAAGTAACCCGAAACATTGGGTCCTACAGGCAGGCCTATTGTCTGGCGATCACGTGAAGGCTCGTCAGAAAACACGTTCATTGATAGGGGCGATGTCTGTGCCACCGAATGTGCTCGACCGCATGATGTTTGCTGCTGAGCCTCAACTAACAAACCTTCAGATAACGGCCCTTAAGACGACAGTTGTGGCGGCTGACCCTTTAAATGGCGGGAAACCGTTTATGCACCTTCCCGCCCATCGGTGGGATGGCGTCATCAACACATCATGGCTTCCTAAAAAATCAAGGACTAAGGTTTTATTTTTCTAATTTATTTTATTTTATTTTCAATAAATTATCTACTATTAATTTAAGTGAGATTTTTCACTCCTTAAAAGAATATAATCTAACAAAAAAGAAATAAACATATTAAAAAATCAATTTTAAATCAAAATAATTTATTTTATTTTATAAAAGAAATTATAAATTGCATCCAAACTTTTTGCTAGTAAATTTTTATTTTTTTAATTGAATCCCTATTATAATAATCAATTAGACACTTTCACGAGTATATAATAAATAACTGAGTGTGGGACAAACAAGTGAAAAATTGTCTACTCAAAGGTTGGTCATTGACCACTTTATACATTATTTTATTTGAGAAATACTTTTTTCAAAAATTTTTGTTTTATTTTCATTTTTTTTAATTTTTGGAAACCCGCCAATGTTGGTCTTTTGCTTTTTGACCGTTTACCTTGGCGCCAAATTCGAAATTTCAAGTTCTTAGATGGCACAATGGGCGGTGACTTTTAGTGGGGGGGGGGAATTCTGTACAGCGGCGCCGCAGATCACTCCGTGAGACACTCGTGACATGTTTTCCTCTAACGTGACCCACACATGCCATGCCCAAGTAAAATTAATTAAAACAAAAAAAGGTTTCTTGCAAGTCTCGGTTGATTTGGACTTAATTGTGTTTCTTAAGGTAAATATTCCATGATTATTCATGTGTTTTTCTCTTGTGGGTCCCAGTTGGAGATTTTAGGATCTTTATAATTGTAAGATTCCTGTTCTATGATCTTAGCCGTACGTAATTATGTTTCTCAAAATTTGATTTTGCATGCTTATTAGTCAAAGTATTAGCACGTGAAATCATTAGTTTGGGATTCTGAGTGAGATTTTGATTCTATGACCAATCCCAAAGTTTGAACTTGATGGTAAGTTTTTATTAATTAAGTTGAAAAATATTAATTAAGTTTTTAAATTCAAGATTTTGTTATCATAATTTAATTTGATGGTAAGATAAAAAAAAAAAGAGGAGAGGGAGTGAGATTATCTCCAATACATTTTTTTTTCAAAACAGGTCACTCACCTTGCATTTAGGTGAAGTCCATTTGTACTTATTAATGGTGGATGGTGTGCCTTGAATAGAAAGTGTATTAGAGATAATCTGAATCAAAGAGAGAGAATGATTGAAAAATTATAGTAAGAAGATTGAACTTGACTTTTTTTGGGGATAAAAACTTAGGGGTTGTTTGTTTTATGTTTTTGTCCTATATTTTTTGTTTTTGTTTTGAATTTTTGTAAAAAATAAAAACAAAAATTCGTTTGTGAATTGTTTTTAGTTTTGTTTTTGTTTTCATTGTATCGGAGACAAAGACAAAAAAATGAAAACAAAAATTTTTTGTTCCAAGAAACATGAAAAACAGAAAACAAGCATTTTTTGTTTAAATGAGGTCTTGCCTTCGAGTTTTGATAGTTACAAATTCCCATTTCATACGAGAGAGTATAATTATGAGATATTTTTTTTCATTTNATTCCCATTTCATACGAGAGAGTATAATTATGAGATATTTTTTTTCATTTTCGTCCTCACAGATCACTCCCTTCACACCCCTCTGCCACTCTCTCTTTTGTGAAGGTAAACAANTTTCGTCCTCACAGATCACTCCCTTCACACCCCTCTGCCACTCTCTCTTTTGTGAAGATAAGCAGNGAGGTGCTAGTGTTTGAGAAAAATTAGTACTGATTATGTTTGTAATGTTGTTGCTGTGCTGGAGTGCTTGAGGCTATGACTGGAGGTAGTGCAGCATATCAGAAGCTTAGAAATCCTTTACTTGAAGGTGTTGAAGGTCCAGCATAGTTACATTCTGCAAACAGTCTGTGAGCTTGGACTGTTTTTCTGTAATAGAGGGTCGGGAAGCTGGACTGTGGCAGAAGTTATTCGGCTTTAGTCATTTTGAAGGATTAAAGCNAACGACTCTCTCTCAGTACGTCTCTCTTCTCCAGAGCTCTCTCAACCACTATCTCTCTTCTAGTCACAGATTGATAGATGAAGACAAAATGTTGATTTGGCTCACACAAAGAAGACCCACCGCCGAAGACGAAGAAGGTAAGTAATCCCTTTACTTGTATAGATATATGTATATATACATAAATCTGTATATATATGTATAGATCTATATTGTACATTACATATCGTAATCATATTTTTTTTCACCACAATATACATAGATCTGTATATTTGTATGTAAATTTCATTGTTAATTAATCATTAGGGTATTACAGAGCACATTGATGTTTGTGCTTTAATCGTATTATTTATATTTGTGTTGTATCCCTCTGCTTCACTTTGTGTGTATAGAGTTGCATCTACTGATTAGGGTATGCTTGGAAAAAACCTGTATTTTGTCTTATTTTTTTTAATTCAATATAAATTTGAAATTGGGGCTGGTTTATGTTAATAATATTGTAAAGTTAGGTAGTAGAGATGATGATGAAAATTCTTTTAGGTGCAACGAATCTAGCACCAAGAAACGGGCCTTGAGGCCGCAAACACGTATTGGATACCGACGAATAAGGAAGATGCTGACAACTAAATACTGGAAAGTAGCTCCAAAATTGAAGGATTATGAAATTTCTAACATTGGTAAGTGATGGCTCTAACTTTTTGGTGGGAGTATAGTAAATTTGAAGTTTTACAGTTCATTTGCATATAAGTTCAACTTTATGAAAATTTCTTGCCTTAAATTCAGTTATTTTGGCATCTTTAGATCGGGGAACAAAGCCCATATACCGCAATAGGAAAGCCATTTACACACTTGAAAGATGTCAACATGAAGCTCCTTCTAAGAGGAGGAAATTGTTTGACCATAGCTCAAGAGTTATGTATAATCAGGAGGCTAGTAGTGAAAGCATATCTAATTCACCCAAGAAGAACATAATGGGAGCCAAAAGTGCTTTAGCTGCATTCTTTCACCGAGGTTCTTGCTTCTCTTTGATGTTTGGGTTTAAATATTCTTGGTATTCCACAAGTTTCCTAAATGATATTTTTTTGGTTTTTGTGCAGCAAGAGGATTGCCATCTTCTACTAAAGGCCTTCAAGCATCTTTTCACTCCAATAATTCACATGGTGGTGAAATTGTTATTTATTTGACTAAGTTGTTGCTGTGGCTTCAATGAGTTACTTACATGCGTTACGTTTTTTCATTCAGTGAAGTTTAGCATCAAATCCTTCAAGGTGCCAGAGCTTTACATTGTAAGCACCAAAAACTGCAACTGTTGGTTCACTAAAGGTATTTTTTTATTTCTTTGTCCTGTTTCATACAGTATGCAGTGTAGATCCTTAATCTCATGAGTTGCATAAGACATAACTACCATGCATTTGGGCTTAGACCTCTTTCGGTTATATGTGGGGATGATTTGGGTGAATTGAATTCCTTTCACTAATTTGCAATTTGGGAAAGCTGTTATACTATTTTTCCATTTATATAAGTTACGCTGCTATTCTTGTTTTTACCTTCAAGTCTACCTTCGAGGGAATTGACTTGCTTCTCTCTTCATTAATTTCTTATTCCATGTCAGCCTTCAGGAAAAGGTTAGGACCTAGGAGCCACCATATTACAAGCTCGTTTAGCAGATACTTACCCATTTGGTATTTAATGTCCATAGACTTTGGTAAAATGAAATGTCGAAGTTGTTAATAACTGAACTAATGTACTCGTCATATACCAAAGTGGGTGCATGTCTAGTGGGATCTTGATCCTCTTCCTCACATGGACATGACATTATAGGACTTATACGTAAGTTGGGAAATGTCTGTATTGACTGGGAATATTGAATGAGGTTTATTGTGTTAGCATCATATTTGATCTGTAGTGTTGTTGCAGTGATAAAGCTTCCTGAATCTCATAAGTGCGTTTTGTGCTCTAAGCAGAGGATGGTTATGGAAACAGTGACTGCTATCCTTGGTGGGGAATTACATGTAGGGGTACTTCTTCAAGGGAAGAAGGTTAGGGAGGACAACAGAACTCTGCTGCAGACTGGTATTTCTTGTAGTGGTAACCTTGATACTCTGAGTTTTACACTGGAGCCTTGTATCTCCCCAACTTCTCCACCTGTTATAGATCCTCCTCTTTCGGTGTCATGTGAGGCACATCAACAATCACCCAGGTATTTCTATGTGCTGTAAATGTGTGTTTCTTGTTGCACCATGTCGGAGTGGCCCCTCAAGTATATAAATCAACCTTGATGGTCCTAATTATTCTATGTGGGATACAAGCTTTCTTATCACATAGGAATGACATTATTATTATTATTTCTTTTTACATCCATTCAGTTCAGAGGTGCTAGTGTTTGAGAAAAATTAGTACTGATTATGTTTGTAATGTTGTTGCTGTCCTGGAGTGCTTGAGGCTATGACCGGAGGTAGTGCAGCATATCAGAAGCTTAGAAATCCTTTACTTGAAGGTGTTGAAGGTCCAGCACAGTTACATTCTGCAAACAGTTTGTGAGCTTGGACTGTTTTTCTGTAATAGAGGGTTGGGAAGCTAGACTGTGGCAGAAGTTATTCGGCTTTAGTCATTTTGAAGGATTAAAGTCAACTCCTTGTAAATAGAATTTTTAAAATTCTTTTGTGTTGATGCTGCTATGCAAAGATGATGCTGTGCTCAAGATGTTCATTGTCTTTCCATTGATGGTTGCTGCTGCAATTTTGCTAGGTTGCAGTATGTGGCTGATGCAGTCTATTGCAGCTGGTGGTCTTATCCTGGGATGGAGATGTTCAGCTGGCAAAATTCTGCAGCTTCAGAAATTCATCAGTAGTACGGGAAATATGCTGGTTGCTTTCTGTTATACAACAGAAAAACTGATTTTTGTAACAATTTTTATCNTTGTGCTTTAATCGTATTATTTATATTTGTGTTGTATCCCTCTGCTTCACTTTGTGTGTATAGAGTTGCATCTACTGATTTGGGTATGCTTGGAAAAAACCTGTATTTTGTCTTATTTTTTTTAATTCAATATAAATTTGAAATTGGGGCTGGTTTATGTTAATAATATTGTAAAGTTAGGTAGTAGAGATGATGATGAAAATTCTTTTAGGTGCAACGAATCTAGCACCAAGAAACGGGCCTTCAGTCCGCAAACACGTATTGGATACCGACANTACAGTTTTACTGTTGCTAGGACACTTCATGGTTTTGATTTATGTAATGATTGAGTTTTATGCAATAAAATTTCTCTTTTCTTAAAAAAAAAAAATAATGTCTATTTGAATTCACGGTTGTATATCATTTTTCATAAAATAAAGTGTTGATTTGTTTGAAAACAAAAAATGAGATAATATAAAACATATTTAGGATAAAACTTGAGATAGTTACTAGACATGTTTTCTATTTTTATTCTCATAATTTGATAGACAAAAATGACTATCAAACATGTTTTTTGTTTCAGTGTTTACCACAAAATAGAGAAAAAAAATTGACTCTGTTTTTGTTTTTTTGAAGACGCAAAAACAAAAACGTTATNGGGAGTATAGTAAATTTGAAGTTTTACAGTTCATTTGCATATAAGTTCAACTTTATGGAAATTTCTTGCCTTAAATTCAGTTATTTTGGCATCTTTAGATCGGGGAACAAAGCCCATATACCGCAANTTCAGTGTTTACCACAAAATAGAGAAAAAAAAATTGACTCTGTTTTTGTTTTTTTGAAGACGCAAAAACAAAAACGTTATCAAACGACCCCTTAATTTTTAGCAGTTTTAGTTTTATTATTAGTTTTTTTAATATAAAAAATTCAATTTTAGGGCTTTTTAATTAAATGAGCTAAATTAATAGGTTCACTTAATTCAAATTGAAATCGTTTATTTATGCTTTTTTTTTGGGGGGGAGGGGGGCTATTTCTTATAAATTCAATTTNTAATCAGGAGGCTAGTAGTGAAAGCATATCTAATTCACCCAAGAAGAACATAATGGGTGCCAAAAGTGCTTTAGCTGCATTCTTTCACCGAGGTTCTTGCTTCTCTTTGATGTTTGGGTTTAAATATTCTTGGTATTCCACAAGTTTCCTAAATGATATTTTTTTGGNAGGTTCACTTAATTCAAATTGAAATCGTTTATTTATGCTTTTTTTTTGGGGGGGAGGGGGGCTATTTCTTATAAATTCAATTTTTTTGTTTGTTCTATTATTATGTGTTTAAAAACTAGCGATAACTCGTGCCTGAAAATACGACACAATGTGAATAGTTTTGAGAGGAATGCTGAGNCTAAGTTGTTGCTGTGGCTTCAATGAGTTACTTACATGCGTTACGTTATTTCATTCAGTGAAGTTTAGCATCAAATCCTTCAAGGTGCCAGAGCTTTACATTGTAAGTACCAAAAACTGCAACTGTTGGTTCACTAAAGGTATTTTTTTATTTCTTTGTCCTGTTTCATACAGTATGCAGTGTAGATCCTTAATCTCATGAGTTGCATAAGACATAACTACCATGCATTTGGGCTTAGACCTCTTTCGGTTATATGTGGGGATGATTTGGGTGAATTGAATTCCTTTCACTAATTTGCAATTTGGGAAAGCTGTTATACTATTTTTCCATTTATATAAGTTACGCTGCTATTCTTGTTTTTACCTTCAAGTCTACCTTCGAGGGAATTGACTTGCTTCTCTCTTCATTAATTTCTTATTCCATGTCAGCCTTCAGGAAAAGGTTAGGACCTAGGAGCCACCATATTACAAGCTCGTTTAGCAGATACTTACCCATTTGGTATTTAATGTCCATAGACTTTGGTAAAATGAAATGTCGAAGTTGTTAATAACTGAACTAATGTACTCGTCATATACCAAAGTGGGTGCATGTCTAGTGGGATCTTGATCCTCTTCCTCACATGGACATGACATTATAGGACTTATACGTAAGTTGGGAAATGTCTGTATTGACTGGGAATATTGAATGAGGTTTATTGTGTTAGCATCATATTTGATCTGTAGTGTTGTTGCAGTGATAAAGCTTCCTGAATCTCATAAGTGCGTTTTGTGCTCTAAGCAGAGGATGGTTATGGAAACAGTGACTGCTATCCTTGGTGGGGAATTACATGTAGGGGTACTTCTTCAAGGGAAGAAGGTTAGGGAGGACAACAGAACTCTGCTGCAGACTGGTATTTCTTGTAGTGGTAACCTTGATACTCTGAGTTTTACACTGGAGCCTTGTATCTCCCCAACTTCTCCACCTGTTATAGATCCTCCTCTTTCGGTGTCATGTGAGGCACATCAACAATCACCCAGGTATTTCTATGTGCGGTAAATGTGTGTTTCTTGTTGCACCATGTCGGAGTGGCCCCTCAAGTATATAAATCAACCTTGATGGTCCTAATTATTCTATGTGGGATACAAGCTTTCTTATCACATAGGAATGACATTATTATTATTATTTCTTTTTACATCCATTCAGTTCAGAGGTGCTAGTGTTTGAGAAAAATTAGTACTGATTATGTTTGTAATGTTGTTGCTGTCCTGGAGTGCTTGAGGCTATGACCGGAGGTAGTGCAGCATATCAGAAGCTTAGAAATCCTTTACTTGAAGGTGTTGAAGGTCCAGCACAGTTACATTCTGCAAACAGTTTGTGAGCTTGGACTGTTTTTCTGTAATAGAGGGTTGGGAAGCTAGACTGTGGCAGAAGTTATTCGGCTTTAGTCATTTTGAAGGATTAAAGTCAACTCCTTGTAAATAGAATTTTTAAAATTCTTTTGTGTTGATGCTGCTATGCAAAGATGATGCTGTGCTCAAGATGTTCATTGTCTTTCCATTGATGGTTGCTGCTGCAATTTTGCTAGGTTGCAGTATGTGGCTGATGCAGTCCATTGCAGCTGGAGGTCTTATCCTGGGATGGAGATGTTCAGCTGGCAAAATTCTGCAGCTTCAGAAATTCATCAGTAGTACGGGAAATATGCTGGTTGCTTTCTGTTATACAACAGAAAAACTGATTTTTGTAACAATTTTTATGTTACAGTTTTACTGTTGCTAGGACACTTCATGGTTTTGATTTATGTAATGATTGAGTTTTATGCAATAAAATTTCTCTTTTCTTAAAAAAAAATAATAATGTCTATTTGAATTCACGGTTGTATATCATTTTTCATAAAATAAAGTGTTGATTTGTTTGAAAACAAAAAATGAGATAATATAAAACATATTTAGGATAAAACTTGAGATAGTTACTAAACATGTTTTCTATTTTTATTCTCATAATTTGATAGACAAAAATGACTATCAAACATGTTTTTTGTTTCAGTGTTTACCACAAAATAGAGAAAAAAAAATTGACTCTGTTTTTGTTTTTTTGAAGACGCAAAAACAAAAACGTTATCAAACGACCCCTTAATTTTTAGCAGTTTTAGTTTTATTATTAGTTTTTTTAATATAAAAAATTCAATTTTAGGGCTTTTTAATTAAATGAGCTAAATTAATAGGTTCACTTAATTCAAATTGAAATCGTTTATTTATGCTTTTTTTTTGGGGGGGAGGGGGGCTATTTCTTATAAATTCAATTTTTTTGTTTGTTCTATTATTATGTGTTTAAAAACTAGCGATAACTCGTGCCTGAAAATACGACACAATGTGAATAGTTTTGAGAGGAATGCTGAGGGACGTTGAATGAATTTATTTAAGACCATCGAATACACTTAATAAAGTTTGTTATATTTTATATTATTGATATTGACTACAAGATTCGAAAGATCTTAAAAAAATCTTAAAGTCCAGACTTTACTAACCTACGCCTTGGGCCGGCCCTGAGTGTCACAATCTAAGTGCTAACATTTCCTCGTTAGGGGCAGGCATAAGGTGAGGGACGTTACTTATTGATCCAGAAAACTTGAGCAGAATGCAAAGGTATTTGGGTATGGCTTGCAAGTCTGGTTTCTTGTTGCCCCTTTATGTGAACATGGTAGTGATGGAATTGACTTGATGAATGAGTCGCTTACTCTTTCATACTAAACATTACACAATAACACAAACTATGATTGTGTAACAAAGTTCATATGCATACTTCCTATATGACCATATTTTCACTTTTTTTTTGGTGAATATAAAAAGTTATTTGAAAATTCGGGCATCACTCTTTAGTTTCTGCATACCAAATACTCAAATTAGTTGGATTGGTTAAAAGGTCAATATAGCTCATGTGCTGAACTCGGGATATAAAATTTCAAAATTAAATTATATCTGCACCATAATTTAATCCAAAGTTTTGATTACGTACTAGTCTGTCTTAAGTTTTTGAATTCTGGTTAAATTCAAATTGCATTTCTCTATTTAAAACGTAGATTTATTTCACAAGGTTCAATTCATATTGAAATTGGGTTTCATTCTTGAGCTATATAACTCGGATCGAAATTTGGCCTGGGCCATAACAAGTTTAACAATATAAGCCTCTTCCTAAGTAAAATATATCTTATATTGGATTCGAGTTGATGACATGTTTAAGTTGCCCCTTAAACGTATAGANCATAACAAGTTTAACAATATAAGCCTCTTCCTAAGTAAAATATATCTTATATTGGATCCGAGTTGATGACATGTTTAAGTTACCCCTTAAACGTATAGGCTGCAGTGATGTCTGAAAAAGATAATTAGTTGACAATCTTTACTATAATTCAAAGAGGTGGATTCTCGAACTCGAAACCACAACATTTCATTTATACATATAAACAGTTGCTATCATTTTCGATTTGACTTCTAATATAATATTAACACGCTAAGGTCAACATATGATATAATGGTTTGTAAAATTGTTGGGTTGATGACACTATGGTGAAATGAGCATGGACAGTTTGAAACTCAACTTTCTCAGAACACACAAGCATAAAAAGTTAGGAAGGTGGCAAGCTTAAAAAGTTAGGAAGGTCGGTGATGCACATGCCAGGCATTCTCACACTCGCATTTCTGTTCTTCATTATTCAGCAAAACTCGTCTTCAGCGTAGTTACAAGGTTGTTCTATTCTAATATGTAATAAGTTACGTGTTCTTTGTAAATACAAATGAAAATTGTGTACATTTGATTCTCTTGTACATATCATGCTACCAATTCTTGCAGGATAGTGAAAACATCCATGGGGCTAACAATTGGGGTCTGAACTTCATTTCAATAGCCCCTCCCCCCATCACCATCCCCCGTTCCACCCCGTTCCACCCTCCCAATTTGGAGTGTCAATCGTGTCGTATTAAACGGTTACGTGTTGGATTAAATGGGTAACGAGTGAAAAATATATAAACTCGTATACGACACGTTTAATAAATGAGCAAAAAATCTCAACACGAACACGGCCAATCTAATAAATGAAAAACACGACGACTCATTTAACCCATTTAATTTTAAAAAAATTATATTAACAAATTTTAATACTCCAGTTTTTTTTATTGCCAATTACACTTACCTCCAAAAAAAAAAGAATTTTTAGCCAAATTTCATAAAAATAAGACTTAAAGGCCTATAAAAAAAAAAAAAGTAGGAGATTATTACTTTTTATAGGCAACTCAATCCTCCCTATCTCCCCTCATTTTTTAATGTGGGACAAATAAGACTTGAAGAGTTAAAAAAAAAAAAAAATAAGAGGTCATTGCTTTTCATAGGCAACTCAACCCTCTTCATATCTTCTTATTTTTCAATGTGGGACAAATAAAATTTGAAGGCTTAAAAAAAAAGAGTAAGAGGTCATTGTTTTTTNGCTGCAGTGATGTCTGAAAAAGATAATTAGTTGACAATCTTTACTATAATTCAAAGAGGTGGATTCTCGAACTCGAAACCACAACATTTCATTTATACATATAAACGGTTGCTATCATTTTCGATTTGACTTCTAATATAATATTAACACGCTAAGGTCAACATATGATATAATGGTTTGTAAAATTGTTGGGTTGATGACACTATGGTGAAATGAGCATGGACAGTTTGAAACTCAACTTTCTCAGAACACACAAGCATAAAAAGTTAGGAAGGTGGCAAGCTTAAAAAGTTAGGAAGGTCGGTGATGCACATGCCAGGCATTCTCACACTCGCATTTCTGTTCTTCATTATTCAGCAAAACTCGTCTTCAGCGTAGTTACAAGGTTGTTCTATTCTAATATGTAATAAGTTACGTGTTCTTTGTAAATACAAATGAAAATTGTGTACATTTGATTCTCTTGTACATATCATGCTACCAATTCTTGCAGGATAGTGAAAACATCCATGGGGCTAACAATTGGGGTCTGAACTTCATTTCAATAGCCCCTCCCCCCATCACCATCCCCCGTTCCACCCCGTTCCACCCTCCCAATTTGGAGTGTCAATCGTGTCGTATTAAACGGTTACGTGTTGGATTAAATGGGTAACGAGTGAAAAATATATAAACTCGTATACGACACGTTTAATAAATGAGCAAAAAATCTCAACACGAACACGGCCAATCTAATAAATGAAAAACACGACGACTCATTTAACCCATTTAATTTTAAAAAAATTATATTAACAAATTTTAATACTCCAGTTTTTTTTATTGCCAATTACACTTACCTCCAAAAAAAAAAGAATTTTTAGCCAAATTTCATAAAAATAAGACTTAAAGGCCTATAAAAAAAAAAAAAGTAGGAGATTATTACTTTTTATAGGCAACTCAATCCTCCCTATCTCCCCTCATTTTTTAATGTGGGACAAATAAGACTTGAAGAGTTAAAAAAAAAAAAAAATAAGAGGTCATTGCTTTTCATAGGCAACTCAACCCTCTTCATATCTTCTTATTTTTCAATGTGGGACAAATAAAATTTGAAGGCTTAAAAAAAAAGAGTAAGAGGTCATTGTTTTTTATATGCAACTCAACCCTCCCTATTTCCTCTCATTTTCCAATGTGGGACAAATAAGACTTGCCCTTATCTTTGAAGTGTTCCTCATCTTCTCTCTTTTGTCTTTGAACTACTACTTTACTTTTTTTTTTTATTAATTTTTTTACTTCTTTTTTTCTTGCTAATTTTTTTAAATAATTATTAATTTATTATTATATTAATTTTATTTAAACGGGTAAACGTGTAATAAACAGTTTGACAGGTCTCACTCGAACACGACCCGTTTATTAAACGTGTTTGACGTGTCAACTCGTTTATCATCCAAACTCGTTAAAATCTCACCTAAACTCGCTTAATTCGTATCGATTAATCGTGTCGTGTCAAATTTTGACAGTCTTACTCTCAATACACATATATACACCCAAAAAGAGAAAAGAACAGGTGATCATAAGCCATAGTAGATAGACCTACACTTTCAGAACCTCTCTCATTATCGGCCCCTCTCTCTTAATACTCAAATCACATGGCTCTAGCTGCAACATTCCACAATCGGTTGCTACTGTCATTTTACCAAAAAAAGTTGAACTCTGCTTTTCAATTTCTCCTTGTCTGTTAGATGCAAAAGGTCATTCTAACTGTTCCTACACCAAACTTACGTGGTGAACTTAGATAAGTCTACAAAAATTTTTTTTTTTGAAAAAGAATTACGGTTAGTAATAATGTGCACATCATTTTGTCCACCGCTTCACTTTTACCATTACCGCATGATATAATCACATTCATTGGATAAGTCAATAAATCTCATTGACCTAATGGTCCACATTAAGACGGTAATTGTTGAATTGTTACAAGTCAATTGAGTGGCGTTACAACTTAAATTGGGCAAAAAAAGTTCAAAAGATACAAATAGGTCAAAGTTACGACAGCGAAATTCAAAAAAGTTGGATTTTACAACCAATTTTAATTGACCTTATTGAATCATAACTACACTTGTTTGAATTATTTACTTGACCTTATAGACTTGTAACTTTCAAACTAATACCGAAAATTAACTTTGTTAACGGAAATGGGCTGGAGGACAGATGGTTTACTGCTGACAAATTGACATGTCTTAAAATGTTGCAGTTGCTCATCACCGCCAGATGAGAACCATATGAGGTTGCTCTTTATGGCCTTCACTTTTTGTAAGGAAAATGTTATAATTATCAAAAAATTTATTTCAA